CGCCGCGAAAACATCCCAGGGATGACGCCAGGCGACGTGCCAGGGGACGTGCCATGGTGTCGCACCGCGGGACGTGCCAAGGGGACGCGCCTACGGAACCGCCAATGGATGGTGGCCACGGAACTGCCAGGGAACGCGCCGCGCGCGACGTGCTAGGGTGACTCGCCACAGGACGGGACGCGCCAACGAACGTGCAAAGGAACGTGCCAAGTTGCAATGCTGAGTGTATCGATCTTGATGTACCGTGCCGAAATATGTGCTGTGCTGCGCCGTGCTGAATTGCGATGTGCCATGCCGCGATTGTGCTCTATAGCCTCGTGGATCGAGTCTTCCTTTGCATCCGAGTCCTGTCCGAACTGATCTGGATCGTAAGCTCGAGCTGCCAGAACACATAGTAGCTGGCCCAGAGCTAATGGACAAGAGAACATGCCAGGAGGACGCGACGCGGAACGTCTCAAGGGACCGCCAAGCGACGTGCCAAGGGACGTGCCATGGGGACGCACCGCGGGACGTGCCAAGGGGACGCGCTACGGAACGTGCTGGGGACAAGCGTTTCGCTCGAGACATACTGTCAAAATCATCCGAAGTCCTACGCGCGGGACGCGGCACGCGCGAGACATCCTCCGAATTCCTGCGAGCGGGACGTGACAACAAGCATTTCGCCTGAGACATCCTCTGAATTCTGGCCACCCACGAGGCCCCCGCTCGAGACATCCCTCAATTTTGCAAAGCCAGCGTTTCGCTCGAGACATCCTCAACAAATTACTTTTAAAAAAAAACAAGCGTTTCGCTCGAGACATCCTCTCAAAATCCCAAGGAATCCAAGCAAAACAACAGATTTAGTCGAGACATCTTCAAAATTCTTACGCGCGGGACGCGGCACGCGCGAGACATCCTCAGAATTCCTGCGAGCGGGACGTGAAAACAAGCATTTCGCTTGAGACATCCTTTGAATTCTGGCCACCCACGAGGCCCCCGCTCGAGACATCCCCAAATTTTGCAAAGCCAGCGTTTCGCTCGAGACATCCTCAACGAATTATGAAAAACAAGCATTTCGCTTGAGACATCCTGCCAAACTTCAAAGACATCGTAGAACGACAAGCGAATTAGTCGAGACATCCTCGAAATTCCTGCGCGCGGGACGCGGCACGCGCGAGACATCCTCGGAATTCCTGCGCGAGGGGCGCTTTTCCGTGTCGCGGTCGGCTCTGCAAAACCAGCGTTTCGCTTGAGACATCCTCAACAAATTCTGAAACCAAGCGTTTCGCTCGAGACATCCCCAACTCCGCAAAACCAGCGTTTCGCTCGAGACATCCTCAACAAATTCTGAAAATCAAGCGTTTCGCTCGAGCCATCCTCAAAAATAATTCCGCCAGCCCTCTTCCCGCACGTAATTTATCGCAGAATTACACTGCACCCGCGCTCCCAGGGCCACGATCCCTCGTAAATTACGCTACGTCAGCGCTCCCAGGGCCACGATCCCTCGTAAGGGCTCCTGGGCCCTCCTGGGTCTTCCTTGGACCTCTTGGGCCCTCCTGGGCTCTCCTGGAGCCTCCTGGAGCTTCTCCTGGGCCCTCCTTGGGCCCCCTGGTGCCTCTTGGAGCCTCCTGGGTCCTCCTGGGCCCTCCTGGGCTCTCCTGGGCTCTCCTGGAGCCTCCTGGGCCCTCCTGGGCGAAGTCAAGGTCCGAAAACACATGGGACTTGCCACATTTCTGAAATTCGGTGCCACCCCTCACGCAGGTCGGCGGGGTCAGGATCCGAAAACACATGGGATTTGCCACATTTCTGGAATTCCGTACCACCCCTCACGCAGATCGGCGGGGTCAGGGTCCAAAAACACATGGGATTTGCCACATTTCTGGAATTCCTCGCCACCCCTCACGCAGATCGGCGGGGTCAGGGTCCAAAAACACAGGGGATTTGATACATTTCTGGTATTCCGTGCCACACCTCACGCAGATCGGCGGGGTCAGGGTCAAAAAACACATGGGATTTCTGCTATTTCCGAACTTATGCAACTTCAAGAATCCAAAACTCAGTTCCCAGCGCCGTTCCGGAGGCCGCGGCACCTTGTTATTTATCGAGCGAACGCGTTCACCTCGTTTTTTATCGTTTAAAATCGATGTCGGAAAAAAGTGGACTTCACCTGTGAAATATCGAGGTTTCCTTAAAGGCAGTAAGATTCCAAGAGCACGATCTGCGTGAGGGGTGGCGAAAAATGGCCTTCGTCCTCACAATTGAAATCCGCCAGCCCCCTTCGACCTCGTAATTTATCGCACAAGAATTCCGCCGGCCCCCTTCAAGTCGAAACCGGGGGGTAAACCAACTAAAAGAGAACCCTGGGCCCAGGCCCTTTCCGGGAAAAAATGGGGGGGGCTGGTCTAGCAGAGGGTGCTGCACCACACAGGGGCACGTCGAACATCAAGGATGAGATGTTTAATAAGCTTGGGGAAGAGCCTTGTCTAGAAGAGGGTGCTGCACCACAGTTGGGCACGTGCTGAATTGCGATGTGCCATGCCACGAGTGTGCTCTATAGCGTTGTGGATCGAGTCCTCCTTTGCATCCGAGTCCTGACCGAACTGATCTGGATCTTAATCTCGAGCTGCCTAAGCACATAACTAGTAGCTGCCCCAGAGTTGATTGACAAGGGAACATGCCAGGAGGACGCGCCGCAGAACGTCCCAAGGGACGCGCCAGGCGACGTGCCAGGGGACGTGCCATGGGGTCGCACCGCGGGACGTGCCATGGGGACGCGCTACGGAATGTGCCAATGGACGTGCCACGGGACGTGCCAAGAGACGCACCAAGCGAGGTGTCAGGGGACGTGCCACGGGGACGCACCGCGGGACGTGCCAAGGGGACGCGCTACGGAACGTGCCAATGGACGTGCCACGGGACGTGCCAGGGGACGCGCCGCGCGACGTGCCAGGGGGACTCGCCACAGGACGCGCCACGGAACGTGCCAAAGAACGTGCCAAGTTGCAATGCTGAGTGAGTGTATCGATCTTGATGTACCGTGCCGCGGGCTGTGCTGTGCTGCGCCGTGCTGAACTGCGATGTGCCACGTGACGATTGTGCTCTATAGCGTTGTGGATCGAGTCCTCCTTTGCATCCGAGTCCTAACCGAACTGATCTGGATCTTAAGCTCGAGCTGCCTGAGCACATAGTAGCTGCCCCAGAGCTAATTCACGGGGGGCATGCTAGGAAGACGCGCCGCCGAAAGTTCCAAGGGACGCGCCAGGCGACGTGCCAGGGGACGTGCCATGGGGACGCACCGCGGGACGTGCCAAGGGGACGCGCTACGGAACGTGCCAATGCATTATGGACGTGCCACGGGACGTGCCAGGGGACGCGCCGCGCGACGTGCCAGGGGGACTCGCCACAGGACGCGCCACGGAACGTGCCAAAGAACGTGCCAAGTTGCAATGCTGAGTGAGTGTACCGATCTTGATGTAATGTGCCGAGGGCTGTGCTGTGCTGCGCCGTGCTGAACTGCGATGTGCCATGCCGCGATTGTGCTCTACAGCGTTGTGGATCGAGTCCTCCGTTGCATCCGAGTCCTGACCGAACTGATCTGGATCTTAAGCTCGAGCTGCCTGAGCACATAGTCCACGCAGTAGCTGCCGCAGAGCTAATTGACAAGGAAACATGCCAGGAAGACGCGCCGCGGAACGTTCCAAGGGACGCGCCAGGCGACGTGCCAGGGGACGTGCCACGGGGACGCACCGCGAGACGTGCCAAGGGGACGCGCTACAGAACGTGCTGGGGACAAGCGTCGTGTTGGTGGCCTGGACACGTAAAAACACGGTGCCAGCTCGGGACAACCATGAGAGATACCCCCTGGGTGGCCTGGACATGTAAAACACGTGGTTCCAGCTCGGGACAATCATGTTAGAGATCTCCCTGGGTGCCGCGCTGGCAGGGCCACGATCCCTCGTAAATTACCTGCGCCCGCGCTCCCAGGGCCACGATCCCTCGCAAATTACGCTGCGCCCGCGCTCCCAGGGCCGCGATCCCTTGTAAATTACACTGCGTCCGCGCTCCCAGGGCTACGATCCCTCGTAAATTACACTACACCCGCGCTCCCAGGGCCACGATCCCTCGTAAATTACGCTACGTCAGCGCTCCCAGGGCCACGATCCCTCGTAAGGGCTCCTGGGCCCTCCTTGGGCCCCCTGGTGCTTCTTGGAGCCTCCTGGGTCCTCCTGGGCCCTCCTGGGCTCTCCTGGGCCCTCCTGGGCTCTCCTGGGCTCTCCTGGAGCCTCCTGGGCCCTCCTGGGCGAAGTCAAGGTCCGAAAACACATGGGACTTGCCACATTTCTGAAATTCGGTGCCACCCCTCACGCAGGTCGGCGGGGTCAGGATCCGAAAACACATGGGATTTGCCACATTTCTTAATTCCGTGCCACCCCTCACGCAGATCGGCGGGGTCAGGGTCCAAAAACACAGGAATTTGCCACATTTCTGGAATTCCGCGCCACCCCTCACGCAGATCGGCGGGGTCAGGGTCCAAAAACAAACGGGATTTGACACATTTCTGGTATTCCGTGCCACATCTCACGCAGATCGGCGGGGTCAGGGTCAAAAAACACATGGGATTTTTGCTATTTCCGAACTTATGCAACTTCAAGAATCCAAAACTCAGTTCCCAGCGCCGTTCCGGAGGCCGCGGTACCTCGTTATTTATCGAGCGAACGCGTTTACCTTGTTTTTTATCGTTTAAAGTCGATGTCGGAAAAAAGTGGACTTCACCTGTGAAATATCGAGGTTTCCTTAAAGGCAGTAAAATTCCAAGAGCACGATCTGCGTGAGGGGTGGCGAGAAATGGCCTTCGTCCTCACAATTGAAATCCGCCGGCCCCCTTCGACCTCGTAATTTATCGCACAAGAATTCCGCCGGCCCCCTTCAAGTCGAAACCGGGGGGAAGACCATCTAAAAGAGAACCCTGGGCCCAGGCCCTTTCCGGGAAAAAAACTTGGGGAGGGGACTTGCCTAGCAAAGGGAGCTGCACCACACAGAGGCAGGTCTAGCATCAAGGATGCTTTATTAATCAGCTTGGGGAGAGGCCTTGCCTAGCAGAGGGTGCTGCACCGCACTGGGGCACGTCAAGCACCAAGGATGTTTTTAGGTATAAAACAAATCTGCCTGGGGAGGGGCCTTCTGATCAATTGGGACAACCCCGTGGCGCAGTCCATCAAAGCAACCACGACGGCCTACGCGGAGCAGGTGAAGCAGGCCGGGCGCGACCACAAGCTCGGCGCACCATTTCTTCATGCTTGGGGAGCTCTTCTTCGGGGACTCGGGCAATGCGCTCAGGTGGAGGGCGCAGTGAAGACCACGCTGGAAGCTTACTGGAACGCCGTCATCAGCAAGGCCCAGAACTTGGAGCTTCTGGCGGACACGGTGAAGCACTGCCGGCTGAGCAAGACGCACAACGCGAAGGTCGCCAAACTCCAGTTCGCGGTCGCAGTATGGCAGCCGGACGGCGGCGGGATGGCCCTCGAGGAGGCGGTGATGAAGGCGATGATGACGATCGGAGGCCATCGTCGCAATGGCGCCCCGCCCAAGTCAGCCTTGGCCCGCGACGCCCAGAGGATCTTAGATCTGTTGAAAGAGGAGCACTGAGCAGACGTAAGCGGAGGAAGCATGCATGGTAGCCGCCGCTGCTGACGATGAGGGCGACGTAGCTCCGCCCTGACTCTCTTCTCTTGCTCCTCCCCCCCGTCTCCTGCGCCTGGGGATGAGCAGGCGGATTCTGTCGTAACGGCAGCCGCCTTGTCGTAACGCCCTTCGTCGTCAGTCTAGTTAAATGCAGCGCTCGGTGTGGTAGGAAGTGAGTACATGAGATCGTGAGGGAGCCCGCCTGATTGCTAGGTGCCTCAGTGTCGGGCAGGCGCGCCGGAGCACACTGTGGCTCTATCGCGTCGCGTGCCGTGACCAGTTGCGGAATCACCGCCTGCTGGCCTTGGCACAACGATCATGGGGGTACTATGATACTTCCGTGCACCGAGGTCCCGCCAGCTTTTGATTGCGATGCTCTGATTCGGGGACTCTGATGGACTGTTGTTGTTGTTGTTGGGGAGGGGCCTTGCCTAACAGAGGGTGCTGCACCTGGCAGGGGCACGCCTAACACCAGGGATGATAGTTTTATGTCGAACCACTTGGGGACTCTTGGGGCCTCCTGTGGGCCTCTTAGGGCGAAAGGCTCTGCTGTTGGGTTCGCGTTCACCTTCTTGGGGCTCTCTTGGGGCCCTCTTGGGGCCCTCTCGGGCCGTCTTGGGCACCTCGGGCACCGTCTTGGGGCCCTCGTGGGCCGTCTTGGGGCCCTCTTGGAGGCCTCTGCGGTCTTGGGGGCCTCTTGGGCCGTTTTGGAGCGTCGGGAAGCCAAAAGGCTGGGAACTTCAATGTCCATCAAAAGCCGATGGGAAAACATTGCGTCTTGGAACCTCTTCGGCTTTCTGGAGAGCTTCTTGAGGGCCTCTTGGGTCCCATTTGGGGGCCTCTGGGGCTTCCTGAGAGCCTCTCGGGGTGGAAGGCTCGGATTTTCGGTTCGTCTTACCCCTCTTGGGCCCCCCTTGGGGCCGTTTTGATGCCCTCTCGGGCTGTCTTGGCCCCTGTTGGAGGCCTCCTGGGCTATCTCGGATTGGTCTTGGAGGCCTTTTGGGCCGTCTTGGAGCGTCAGGAGGCCAAAAGGCTGAAAACTCTAACATCAATCAAACACCTACGGCAAGACATGGATTTGTGCCTCTTGGGGCCTTCGTGGGAGGCCTCTTGGATACGCTTCGGCCCCCTGGGGGGGCTTCTTGGGGCCTCTTGGAGCCTGTCAGGGCTTCTCGGGGCCTCCTGAGAGCCTCTCGGGATGGAAGACTCGGATTTCCAGGTCGTGTCAACCCTCCATCTTGGGGCCGTGTTGGGGCCCTCTCGCTCCGCCGTGGACGCCTCTGGCGCCGTCTTGGGACCCCCGTGGGCTGTCTTGAGACCGTCTTCGAGGCCTCTGGGGATGCCTTGGAGCGGAAATTGAAGCCTCTTGGGCCGTCGTGGGGCGTCAGGAAACTCAGAAAGCGAGAACTCGAAAATCGATCAAAGACCAAAGGACAACAAATTAGTTGTGCCTCCTGGGGCTCCTTGGGAGCCATCTTGGAGACCTCTTGGGTCGTCTTGGAAGCCTCTTGGACAGTCAGGGACCAATTCTGGGGTGATCTCGGGCGGTCATTGGTCGCGTTCGTTGTCTGGAAACGCCATTTCTGGCAATCCAGGGCCGTCTTCTGGCGACTTTACAAGGCTCCCAGCGCCACGGCAGGGCCCCCGGGCCTCCCGGCGCGAGGGCGCCATCCCGGGCCCCACCTCGTGCCCGCGGCAGGGCGTCCCTGGGCCGTCTCGGCGCCCTCGTGGGCCGTCTCGGCGCCCTCGTGGGGTGTCTGAAATCCATCAAAAATCGAAAGACAATCAATGATTGTGGCGTCCCTTTGGGCCGTGTTGGAAGCCTTGTGGGCCGTCTGGGGGCCATCTTGGGCGCGTTCGAACGATATGTCCTCGTTTCGGGGCTTCCTGGGGGCCTCTTGCGGCCCTTTTCGTTTGTCTTGGGGCTTTCTTGGGCCGTGTGGGGGCGGCCCTGGGCTGTCTCGGCGCCCTCTTGGAAGCCTGTTTGGGAGATTTTCTGGGTGTCCTGGACCGTCCTCCTTCAACGTCGGCGGCACTGACCGTAAGACTTCCTGGGAACATGATTTGTTGGGGTGTCGTTGGGCGCCTCCGGAGGCTTCGGAACCTGACGCGTTTCCGAGCGTGACGGCAGGTAGCGCTGCTTGGGGCTATCGTTTTTATCCTGGCGGGCGTTTAAGGAACATGGTTTCGGGAGAAGGCGGCAACCCGAGAATCATGTTCCCGGGAAGCTTTCTGGGAACATGATTTGTTCGGCTCTCCTAACAGGGGGGCCTCTGGGGGCTTACCGAGGGGCCCTTTTTGGCCTTGTCGGCGAGCCTATTGGAAACATGGTTGGGGCGGTGGACGGAAGCCCAAGGAATCATGTTCCCGGAAAGCTCTGGGAAATACGATTTACCGAAGTCTCTTGGGGGCCCGCAGGGGGCCTCCCTGGGGCCCCTTGGGAACTCATTGGGGCTTCCGGGGGGCCTCTTTGGAGCCTCACGGGGCTTCTTGGGAGCCTCTTGATGGCCTCCGGGGGCGTCCTAGGAGCCTCTTAGGCTGGAGACCTTGAAATGTCGCGCTCTTCGGGCCCTCTTGGGTCGCTCTTGGGGCTCTCTTGGGGCGCTCTCGAAGCCCTGTTGAATTATCTGGGGAGCGTCCTGGGCCGTCTCTGGTCTTTCTTGGGAGCCTCTTCGGCCGTCTTGGAGCGATCTGAACGGCCTCTGACGCCGTCCGGGACCGTGGGGAGGCGGAACATGCGATAGCGCAAAAATGCGGGGCCCTGTGGAGGGGGCTCTGGAGGCGCTCTTGGGGCGTTTTGGCGGCGTCGTCGGCCGTCCTGAGACCATCTTCGGCGTGTCCGGGGCCTCTTGAGGCTGTCTTGGCAAGCTTTACGGCCCTCTTGGCGTGTCGTGGCGCGTTTGGGAGCGGACCTGGGCAGTCCCGGGAGCGCTGGGGGCTGTTGAATGCTAGGTGTTGTCTTGGAGGCGGAGGCTGTTGAGTGCAGGGTGGCGCGTGCTACGCGGAAGGCGGGCGAGCGGCCAGGCGGGCGGCGGGCGGGCGGGTGGCGGGCGGGCGGGCGGGTCGGGATTTGAATGATTCCTTAAGGGTGCTCTCTTGCAGCGGGAGCTTGTTGAGCACAGGGTGTTGCCTTGAAGACGGGGGCTGTTGACTACAGGGTGTTGTCTTGGAGACTGAAGCTGTTGAGTACAGAGTGGTGCGTGCTACGCGGACGGCGAACGGGCGGCGGGTGCCCTAGGTGGTGGGTCAGAGGCCTCATGGGTGTTGGTTTGGATCTCGTGGTTGGCCTGTCGGGAACGTCGTGAACGCAGTTTCGCATCTTCTCGGTGACCGTTTTGGGGCCGTAGTGGGGCCTCCTCGGGGCTGTTTTGTGGCCTTTTGAAGCCTCGTTTGGGCCTCCTGGGTGCCTCTCGGGGGCCTCCTGGGGCCTCTTGGGGGCTCCTTGGGGCCTCCTGGGGCACTCTTCAAGCGGGAGGGTCGAATTTGGGATTCGTGGTTCCCTCTTGGGTGCATCTTGGGGCCGTCTTGGGGCTCTCTTGGGCTGTCTTGGGCGCTTCTGGGGTCGTCTGGGGGCCCTCTTGGGCCGTCTTTGGGCGCTCTTGGGGGCCTATTGGGCCGTCTTGGAACGTCGGACAGCCGAAAAGGCTAAATCTCTCCAAAACCTTTGAAAAATTACCGATTTCGGCCACTTGAAGCGCTCTGGAGAGGCCGGAGCACTGGACCCAGGACCCCCGGAGGAGCCTCCGAAAGTCGAAGGGCGACAAGAACATCGGCGGGAGGCGAGCCGAGAAGTCGAAGGGGCGAGCGCGGTCCCGAGGGGCGACCGGGGCGGGGACGGCGTCGACGACGACGACGCCGACGACGGCGACACCGCCGACGACGGAGAATTCTCTCTGGGATCCGAGGGCCTCTGCGCTGGCCCGGGGCGGGATGTGCCACCGCAGGAGGGCCACGGCGCGCATGGCGTCCAGGAGGCCGTTTTCTTGGACCGGCGGCGGCGGCGGTCCGAAAATCGGCTCGTCCGCACCGTCCGTTGTAAGGTTCCTCGGGGCTGTTTGGGAGCCTCGTGAAGCCTCGTTCGGGCCTCCTGGGTGCCTCTGGGGGGTCTCCTGGGGCCTCTTGCGCCCCTTTGGGGCCTCCCGGGGCCCTGTGGAGGCGGGAGGCTCGAATTTCTGGTTCGCGGTTCCCCTCTTGGAGCCCTCTTGGTGCCGTCTTGGGCCTCTCTTCGCCCGTCTTGGGCGCGTCTTGGGCCGTCTTGGGGCCCTCCAGAGCCGTCTTGAGGGCCTCTTGGAGGCCTCTTGGGCCGTCTTTGGGCGTCCGCGGGGGGCCTGTGAGCCGTCGTGGAGCGTCGGAAAGCTGAAAAGGCGGGAAAGGCAAAATGTATCCAAAACCGTTGTAAAATGAACAATGGGGCCCTCTGAGGGGGCGGCCTCTTGGAGGCCTCTTGGAGCGTCTTGGGAGCCTCTTTGGCCGTCCTGGGCTTATCTTGGGGGTCTCCTGGGGCCTCTTCGCGCCCCTTTGGGGCCTCCCGGGGCCCTGTGGAGGCGGGAGGCTCGAATTTCTGGTTCGCGGCTCCCCTCTTGGAGCCCTCTTGGGGCCGTCTTGGTCCTCTCTTCGCCCGTCTTGGGCGCGTCTTGGGCCGTCTTGGGGCCCTCCAGAGCCGTCTTGAGGCCCTCTTGGAGGCCTCTTGGGCTGTCTTGGGGCGTCTGCGGGAGGCCTGTGAGCCGTCGTGGAGCGTCGGAAAGCTGTAAAGGCGGGAGAGGCAAAATGTGTCCAAAACCGTTGTAAAATGAACAATTTTGGCCTCTGGGGGCTCTCTGGGGGGGGCCTCTTGGAGGCCTCTTGGAGCGTCTTGGGAGCCTCTTTGGCCGTCCTGGGCTTATCTTGGGCATCTTGGGGCCCTCTTGGCGCCCTCATGGGCCTCTTGGAGCCTGCTGGGCCTGTCGCGGAGCGCTCTTGGGGCACTCTTGGGCCGGACAAGGGCGCTCCCAGAGGCCCGATCCGCCCATGGGGGGTTGCGGTCCTGGCCAGGAAGCCCCCGGCCCTGTAGCCCGGTATATATATATATATATATATATATAATATACATATATATATATTATATATATATTATATATATATATATAATGTGTGTGTGTAGATGTATGTGTAGGTATGTGTATGTATGTATGTATGTATGTATGCATGCATGCATGCATGCATGCATGCATGCATGCATGTATGTATGTATGTATGTATGTATGTATGTATGTATGTATGTATGTATGTATGTGTAAACGTATATACAGATATATAGATATAGAAACATACGTAAGACATGTAGGATTGTGTACACAGGAGAAGGACAATCTATA